TCATGCAGCTATAAATAGAAGTGGGAGTAGAAGTAGCACGGACCATTTCTTGAACATGGCTCATCCATTAGTAAAGAGAAGTAAGAGTGTGGTACTAGTATCGTGCACCGGGCAGTCAGGTCACATCAGCTCAGATCCAATGAAACGGGCCCAGCACCCAAGCACTAGAATGGCCCAAGTGAAATGTATCTCAAGAATGCAAGCTAAACTGTGAGGGTGAATTATTTATCATGTGTATGTCTGTGCAAACACTGGTCTTATCAAGCTAACCTCCATATTAGCTGTTAGCATGCCAAGAACATATAGAGCAGCTGGATTAGTTAGCGTAGCTTTAATCTTGTTAACAGAATGCAGTTTGTTGCATAAGACAGAGAAACTGAAGAGATCTTTAGCTGTCAATGATAAAACAACAGAACAGCTCATAGAGAGTTTGTTTTTGTATGCAGGGAAGGTTAGCCATCAGCAAGGACATGAAGAAAAACACAATTCTAGTGTTAAAGGGCCCATATTACGGTATTTTCAGATTTTTAATATCATTTGTTTCAGCCCTGGAATTGCCAAGCTCATCTAAACAAATGGTAAAAGGTTAGCCTGATTCATCAGCCAGTTTCACTTCATGGAAACCGTCAGATTTCGCAGCATTAGGATTTGTTCACTTGATGATAGGCAGGTACTTTCTTTCGTTGCTATTTGGTCGTGACATATGTAATGCGCCGCTAACGTAGCTAACTGGTATAATAAGCTTTTCCCAAATCCTGTGGAAAGAAGGGCAATAACGTCTTTCCCCTTGATAAAATTCAAACAACATTCTCTTTGTTCCGGTTTTAAATCCTCGATCTTGGGAATCATTGCCACCACAGAATGTATGGCTCTTCGCTGATTGGCTGATGCCCGTACTCACACTTCGGGGTTCTTGCAAACCGTCTAGTGTATTCCGATTCCTGACCTAGCTGCTGGAGAGAAGTGAAATTGAGCGAAGGCACTAGATGGCGCCAGCCTGGCTACTAAAAGGTAGCTGTTAATGTGAAAACTACCACTTCATGACATTACAAGGTGGAAGAGAGCATTCTGAGCTTTGGAGATGTAGACAGGCTAATAAAACCATTACTCAAACACATTTTTGTTTTTGAGAAGGTTCCAACATGTCTTAAATCTCGCAGGAGTCAGCTTTGCACAATAGAGAACCTTTAAATGAGGAGTACGTGACTGTTCTTGTAATTGAGCACATTTTGTTTGATTTCACACCTATTACATTGTAAAGGCTGCCATTTGTGGCCAGAGTGTGCGCTGTCTGCCTGTAATTCCAAAACTTTTTATTGATCTCAAACCCAGAAGAAAGATTCTGATTTATGATACGAGTGTTTACCATTACATCACTGTCTGAAAAAGCCATTATTGATCTGTCTAGAATTGTACATGTGAATACAAGAGATGTGCCAATAGCCTTGTGAGAAACATGCAAGATAAATTTAAATGTGTACATACTTCCTACTTTTAAGGTTTGAAAATGAGGTGTCCCAGATTTAAGAGACGCAAGGACTCACAAAACGAAAATCTGAACTAAAAATCTAGACAGAAGGTAGACGGCAGGAGCAGACAGTAACAACATTCTTCTTAATTATTACCTGATGTTATTTAACGGTATTTTAAGAGAAATCTTGTCAAGGTCTTCTCACACAATCATAAAACAATAGATAACTTGTATTTTTTAAATTATAAACGGCAAATACCCTAGCCTAACCTAACTTTTTGTGTTAATCCTCATAATATGGACACATTTTAGATTGTTATTATAGACATGCTTGTTCTTCCAAAGTACAGTTCCAGTGTGTCCCTGTGCGAGTAAGAGAGTGGCCCAGTGTAGAGCCTCCTGAGAGTGGGACCTCAGGCTCAGGTTACAGGAGTTGGGGCAGCAGGAGATTTACGCTGAGCAAGTGGTGCAGGGAAGGGCCACTGGGAAGAAGGTGTTATATTAAGAAAAAATAATATTAAGAAATTATTTTGATTATTCTGATTTTACCAAAAAATATATATTTACAGGCAACTCAGGACCTGAAATACATATGCAGAGCAGCAGGGTAGTGATTAGAGATATCAGGCCAATATTTGGACTTTTTAGCAGATTGACGATTGGCCTAAAATCTCAACCATAGGCCGACGTTTTGTTTTGATCAATTTGCTTTATATTAACACTTTAATATGAAGAGATAGCTTCACAAAACATGAAAACAAGGCTCTCTTATAGAATTGCGGTAAGTTTGTTGTTTAAATTACAGAAATCTGCTCCACATCACATGTCAGCCCAAAAATATCGACAGAGCTTATCAGTCATTGGTTGCTCCGAGTTCAAAGCAATTGCTGTCGACAAAACCCATATCGGTTAATAGTAGTGATAGAACTTTGAACTGTATCATAGTCTGTATAAAGAAGTGAATTAAGGGAGTGTTACAGGGGCAAAATTGGCAAATGGTTCCTACAGTTTGTAAATGTGTATTACTTATAGATTAGGTTAGTTTATTTGACATATGTAGTTAAAAAACACATTGGAAAAACATGGGTAAAAAGCTAAACGTACATAAAGAGATAGTAAAAAACAAACAAAAACATGAACAACAATCGACAATCATTACAGAAGACAAACTGACACTGTGAAATAAACAAAACACAAAGATTAAGTAGCTGTCTTATGACCAATGAACTAAATCAACTTAGAATTGTCATTCAGTTTTTGCATGAAACAATTACAGCTACAAGCCAGCCCGTTTAGGCTGGAGCTGCTGTCAAACTTGTGTGAATACGCCATTGTCTTTTTGTCAAGCTCAAAACTCCATTGTGATAAACTCTCCTACGCTTTGCCATCTGAGAGGCTAACGCTAACTGCTAACTCTTATATAACTGTCTACGCTGAAGGTGGAGTGCGACCACTCGAACAGGGAAACTATGCACAAATTATTCATCTCTTTGTCATCCTCTTCAGGTTTATTTTAGCACATAACATCGGACAGGAACGATAAGAAGAGCCATAGACAGGTGTACAGGTGCTAAAGGTTGTTTTATGTCAACTTGCTGTGCCATTCTCAGTGAAAGGAAGAATACTTCAAAAATATATTTACTTAAAATACTGAATACACAAATTAAAATGCACTTTGCAATGTATTTCGTCACATGGGCCAATCACAGTACTGTATTCTGAATACTATGAATACTTTTACATAAAGTCGCATTATATCATAGTGTAAAAAACATGATCTAAAATTCCAAACAGCTTTATGATGCACAGTGTGTTATGCATTCATTTATGTTTAATTACAGATGAGAAATCGTACATGCACTCCCTGTAAAAGCTATGCGTCATGTAATCCTTTTAATTTAGGAAAGTGTATTCTGTATACCATCAAATGAAAGAGTAACCACATTACAGATACTGAAAATTAGTATTCAGAATATATATTTTCAGATACTTCCCAACACTGGTGATTCCTGATTATAGCTTATTTGGGTGACTGCAAAACGTTTAACCAAGGTTTCATTCTACGTTTCTGGTCCCATCAAAACAAGAACGTATTTGTGAAAGGTGCACCGTGTAACTTTTCTGATCATCTCAATGAAGATGTTATTGTTTTCCCTAAAATGTTCCACAGTATCATGTGAAATGTATTTATTTCTACAGAGACAAGTGAGTGACACCAACAGTCCTAGTTACTGGTCAGATCTGGGGAGAGGTGACCTTTCTCACAATATGGAATTCATGCTTTTCAATGTATTTTAGCAGAAAAAGGACCTGCATTAAATTAATATAGATACCTTTAATGCCATATTTTGAAACAATCTAGGCAAAGCAATAAGATCTCCAGAAAGTGGGTAGCAGGACCCTTTACCAGAACAACTATAATATATTAAAACAGGTGAAAGATCCTATATTACACTATAAACCATGTTGGAATGGTGTTACCTCCTCAAAAACATACCTGAAGTTGTGTTTTGTTTCATTCATACGTGTTTAAGTAAACCTTTGTGAGTCTGCCCACATCATCAAAGCTCAAAATGCTCTGTTCCACCTTGTGATTTCATTATGTGGTAGCTTTTAAACTAACAGCTACATTTTACTTTTAGTTTAGTAGAGATTGGATATTCCAGGGCTGAAATTATCAAAATGATTCTGGTAAATGTGTATGGAGTTTAAAAACACAGTGGAGCACTTCCTGTATTACAACATGACATCACAAGGTGGAACAGAGTTAGGGATGTAAAAAATATCCAAATCTCTCCGTACGATATCACGATATGCATCTCACTGTCTGATATTTATTGCAATATTTTGGAGAGGCTAATATAATTGTAGATGGGACTTTTTTGCTTCTAAAATACCTTGACAAGATTTTGGTGTGAATTATTTCCGGCATAATCCCAAGAATTCAAGTAAAAAACATATTTCTTCATGTTGTTTGCACTGAAATGAATCATGGGATATGTAGTTCCCTCTGTTTCTAAGCTGTTGCTACTGTAAAACCATGCATTTAAGATAAGGAACTTCTAATTCTTGTAATTGTGACAGCTCACAATATTATTGTGAAACTTCTGACAAATACGATATTTTGGTTATTGTTACATCCCTAAACAGAGTGTTTTCTGTTTGAGAGCAGAACAGTCTATATATGCAGGGTTTGTGTTAAACTTGTGTGAATAAAACAAAACACAGTGTTTTTGATGAGGAACATTATAAAATAGATCAGGAAATAGTGTAATACAGGCACTTTAATCTGTAAACCATTAGTAAACCACTTAGGGACCAGTGTGAAACATATGGACTATTACAAATCATTACAATCCTATCTGCAGTTAAGTACAGTCACCAATAGACATTTCACTGTAATGATCACTCAGCTGTTAGTGCTGTGGATTCAAAGAAATAACACAATTATTCAGTCATTAAACCTTTCATTTTAGGGTCAGAGTTATTCTTTGTTAAAAGTGAAAGTAAAATTGAGCAACGCACTCACCTCTCGCAGACAGCTTTTTAGTGTTGATGATTTTGGCAGCATACTCTTGTCCTGTACACAGCTTGACACATCGGCGGACAACTGAAAAGGCTCCCCTGTAAGAAAAATACAAATAAATCACGTTTCTAGGACACCAACAATTGCCTAAAAGTGTTATAATATTCAGGTGTATGTTGTTTAATTAGGAGCGTGTTCTGCACAGGTGGCACATTAGCAGCACAACAAAGAGGACTTGTGGACGCTTGTGGACATGTGTTGCAGAAATCCTCCTTCTTAATAGGCTCCCATGAGGTTTCTCTCGCACAATCAGCACAGATCAGCAGTAGATGTACGGTGAGGAAAGAATTTTTGTCCATGATATGATGTATAACTGTTGTATAACACTATAGTTTAGTTTAAGGTGGGCTAAGGGGTGCATGACATGAGAAAAAAAATATATATATATATCATGATTTTTTTTTAGAGCATAGAGATTGCGATTTCAAATTCATAATTAAAGAGCCTGTATTGCCCTACTTTCTGATTTATGTTATAATGTTGTTTCCTCATCAAAATCATACTTGGCGTTGTGTTTTGTCTCATACTAGGGCTGCTCAATTATGGGAAAAATCATTCACGATTATTTTGGTCAATAGTCAAATCACGATTATTCAAATGATTATTTTTTTAGTTACACGATGCATTTATTTAGAATTTCCCTCTCTCAAAAAAAACCCCAAAACACTTTGCTATTGATAATTTATGCAAAACCTTCAAAATGAAAATATAGGCTACAAATGTGTACCTAAGAGCAGTTTTGCAATTTATAAAACATAAAATGAATAAAATATACTTTGAACATGAAATAAGCCAGAGAAAAACATATATTAAGCACTTTGAATTACTTTGTGTACGAATTGTGCTATACAAATAAACTTGCCTTGCCTTGCCTATATGTATTCAAAATAATCTATATATTCAGCTGTTCTACAATCACAGTATTTAAAGAATAAATATACTAATTTATATATATTTTTTTTAATATCCCAAAATAAACTTTGTTAAGCTTTTAACTCTTTTTAATAAGTTTGGAGATTGTTTGACACAGGAAATCGAAATCGCGATAAAAATTTTATTAATTGCACATCCTTATCCCATACACACTTCTTCTTCTCTCAAACAGAAAAACAACGTCCAACATGTGGTAATACAGGAAGTGCTCCAATGTGTTTTAAACTCCATTCACCTGCACTAGAAGCATTTGGATAATTTCAGCCCTGGAATTGCCTCTCTCCGATGAACTAAAGGTAAAAGGTAGCTGTTAACTTGAGAACTACCACTGCATGACATCATAAGGTGGAAAAGAGTATTTTAAGCTTTTGGAGATGTAGACAAACATGTGTGAATGAAACAAAACACAACTCCAGGTATGTTTTTGAAGCATTTTGTTTGTTTTAGTTGCTCTATCATAAAATGAAATATGAAAAAATAACAAGTCTATACCATCACTGTATCTTCTAAATCACAAGGTTACATGTTTGTTTGTTTTTTTTCATTTGATGCATTTTGTGATTCTTGGCAGTGTGACATTCAAAAGCAGTGCCGCCATTGTGTTTTGCGTAGCCATGACAACAGCAGCAGATAAGCGCCGCAATGGAAGGAGGGATCATCACACAATCTATGTAGTGATGTGATTTACGCCACAAGAAAATGTATACCCTTATTAAAATATAGAATAGGCTGCATACACAGAGAGCAATCTAAATGAAAAAGAGGATGAGGAGCGTGAGCCACCTCCTATCTCATATTCATAACTGTGTCGTAATATGAATTAAAACTAAATTAGGTCTACTGTAAAATGTTAATGTAAAGTAAGGCATAAATTATAGCCTACCCTAACCTTATCATTAGTTGTACCTTTTTTATATATTAAATTAGTGTTTTATATCTTTCTATTTTTGTTTTTGTTTTGTTAATGACTGCCTAATATGGTTGCAAATTGTTTTATCACAGAGACTGTAAAAAGAAAAAAAAAATTATCCTACACATAAACCTTGGCCTTAGTAGTTTCAGGAACTGTAACTGATTTGCCTGAAATGTTCCACTGTATGGCATTAAACATATTTGAATTGAAGGCATTTTTAACTAGTAAAAACTCTTAAAATACCCATTGTGCAAAGTGAATATCTGTGTTTATTTTTACTATTATTCCAATAAACATAATAGCAGATACACAATAATGAGATGCATGGTGGTAGTTACGGAAATAAGCAATTCTAGTGTTTAGGAGATACATACATGTTTCCTCAAGAGAAAAATAATAGATATGCAAGTCTTTTGTCCAGTGTTGGTGAATGTAAACTCATAGTGGGCATTAAAAGTCCTATATTACACAAAATCAAAAAAATCTATTACACAAAATTGACTCTTTTGAACTTAAAGCCACTTTTATAATACTGTTACCTCCTCAAAACACACTTAACAGTTGCGTTTTGTTTCATTGAGTAACCCTTTATTATTAATCTGTCTACTTCTGCACAGCTCAAAATGCTCTGTTCCACTTTGTGATGTCATATTATGGTAATTCTTAAATCAAGGACTGCATTTTTACCTTTTGTTCTGTAGAGATTGGCAGTTCCTTGGCTGAAATCTTCCAAATTATTCTTGTCAAGGTGTATGTAATTTAAAAACACAGTGGAGCAAGGTTTAAGAGAAGAACTTAACATGTGTGAATGGAATAAAACACAAATACAGTTATGTTTTTGATGAGAAAACAACATTTTAACATCAGAAAATAGCGTAATATGGGTCCTTTAACCGTAAAACTCTACAAATGACAAGTACTAACGCTCTGATCGAAGCTATGAGCACAATTCCTAAACAGTAATAGCTGGATCACCATACTCAATTGTTCATTTATTTATTTACTTCTTACGCTTGTGTCCTAATGGCAAATGTAAGGCAACACGCATAGATAACACTTTTACTTGATAATAATAGCTTAATAACACTTATGTCACTGCAACAACGTGTTCAAAACGCGAACATGTGCGCGAGGGGGGACGCAGGACTCGTGTGGACTGTGGAGGGAGGAGAGGGAGCAGCGTAATGTTATTTTGAGAGCTGTCATCCCGAAAAAGCGTGCATGCACACTCGGTCACACACACCCCATCAGCAGCAGCAGAAGCAGCGGTGGTGGTGGTACATAGAGCTGGCCTGGTTTGCACACTCTACTCCATGTTCCCTCCAATCTACACCAATTACCAGCAACCCAAAGCGTGCCCATTTTTTGCCCGCACAATACTCACTTCCCCAGCTCTTCGTAGAGTTGATACTCGTCAGTGAATCGCGTACAGGTTGTCGTAGCCATTTCTATCCGCTATCTCTCGGGCTCAAGCGTCTCCAAAAATCTCACCGCTGATGTCGGTTCAGTAGGCGACGCACAAAAACACGGGTCCGCCCAGCAGCTACAGAGCTAGGCCGGTGGAGCGGGGAGACGTCTTCTAGCGGGGGCTGAGAAAGGGCAGGTTGATACAGAAAAGGCGAAGCTACGGTCTCTCAGGCAGGGGTGGTGCTCTCAGTGCCCGTCGGTCTCTGCGCTCTTTGGAGAAGCGACAGCGCGCCACCGACTACAGCTGCCAAGCGCGCCGATCAGTGCGCTACAACTTCCCGCGAGGTTTTTCAAAATAAAACACACCATAACAAGGATGAGCAGATATTTATGCCCCAGCATGTAACTTTTTACCAGTAAAATGAAAAAGGTTTAGTCTTTATTTTCATTGCACTGGAATATATCGAAAAACATGCGATCTTTCCCTGGGTGGGCTTGCATCTTCACAAACCTGACTTTTATTTGACCTATGTTTTTGTCATTATTTTATTGCACTTTAATATACAGAAAAATATGTGACCTTTCTTTGCTTGTTTCTCCACACACTTGACTTTTATTTGCCCTGTTTTTGTCATTATTTTATTGGATTTTAAAATAAAGAAAATATGTGACTTTTCTCTGAGTGGGCTTGCAACTCCACAAACCTGACTCTTATTTGACCTATGTTTTTGTCATTATTTTTATTGCACTGTAATATATAGAAAAACATACGATCTCTCTCTGAGTGGGCTTGCATCTCCACAAACCTGACATTTATTTGGCCTGTTTTTGTCATTATTTTTATTGCACTTTAATATATAGAAAAATACGTGACTTTTCTGAGTGGGCTTGCATCTCCACAAACCTGACACTTATTTGGCCTCCTGTTCATTTGCGTGGAAATGTTGGTCCTTTGGCTACAATATTCCACGATTTGGTATAAAACTCTTCTGGTTAACTAACTTTCTGTTTTAATGGAATCATGCATTTGATTTCCACCCCCTGGAAGTTACATACTATCACTTTAAGTTCATGCTTGTACAGTTATATTGTTGAATTGTATTAATCAACATAACAAATATGAAACACATAACTGGGGGCAACAAAACTAAAAGAAATTGCGGCAATTTAATTAAAACTGGAGACATTAATACTTTTTAAAGATAAAGTAAATCCTTTCATAACAGCTCGTATGTTGCGCTGTACTTTTTCTAACTTGACAAAATCCACCTGACGTGGTACAGCGCTCTGTGCTGAACTGCCCCCTGGCGGAGAGCGTGCGTAAAACCAGTGCAGAGTGCGGACTTCCAAACATGGGCAAATCTGAGTGAACCTTTATTTATGAGTAGTGAGTAAGTATAAAGGGTTGGACCAAAGTGGGTGAATAACCAAATGTTACTAAGAAAAAATTAGTTTGAAGATGAAATATTTCTAAAAATTGCTTTAGTACTTTTGTAGTGGTGTGTTCATGGGCTCCCTGTTACATAAAACATTTTGAGGACTTTTTCCCATTAAAAATACTTACTTTAAATAGTGTTCACTATGGGGATGGTCCTATTTTTTCATCATTTTGAAATCCATGAATAAGTGGATTAATAATTTTTTTTTTTTTTAAAAGATACATAAAATGTACGTTATAATAAATTGTTTTGTTCCTTCTCAACCAATTTGCAGTTTATTTTTTAGTTAAGAAGCTAATAAAAAAAATAAAATGGACAGAACATACTTCAGGCATCACACACGCACGCACACACACACTTTATTAAAGACCCAAGATATGCTTGAAAATACACACCATACACTATCAATTCATATTTTAGCAGCTTTGAAATAATAAATAAATCACCCTTCTGTCTGTTCATATTGCCCACACTGTGTTGGCTTAACCCTGGACAGTCAAGTGGTTTAAAGTCATTGCAGCAATCGTACTGAGTTGACATGGAGATGGTAGAGAAAGTCTGCATAGGACGCTCCTCCATTGGGGCTCTTATCCTCCACTAGGTGACGCTGTAGAGCCTCTTCACAACTGTCACCTTGCTTCACCACCCACAGCTACACAAAAACATAGATAATCGCTGTAACATCTGTTCTTACTGGTTTAAAAACAACAATGCAAACACTGCAGAACCAGGGATGCCTATACAGGCCATTATATCAGAGCGAGTCAAATGTGTTTATACATTAGTGACATGCTATTTTAGTCATTATTGTAGAAATTGTTAATTGATATGGCAACAAGAACCCTCACTTGAATCCCACGGGTACAATCTAGAAACTCAAGCGATGAGCCCATTCTTACTTGCTTGTAATCCAAAATAGAGATTGACAACATACATCCTACTTTTTTGTGTAACTGTGAATGAATACATTATTATGACTTTTGTTATCAGTAAAATCACTAAAATCTAAGAACACAAATACTTAAAGAGCACATATTGTGCTTGTGTCTGAAACATAATCATAATCTAAGACATTCATCACATTAAATTAGCTAAATTTACCTTTCGAGTCATGGGAAAGTGAGAGTTCAGTGAGCTGATGATGGACCGCACGTAAGTAGAGAGAGGGCTTTCAAAAACAGGAAGCTTTGTCTAATAAAACAGAAAATTTTTTTTACTTTCTCAAGGCTTTAAAATATGAAATCTACCTGATTCTCTCACCTCTCCGGAGGGCAGGGAGTAGAAGAAGCTGGTGTTGAAGAGCTCCATTAAGACCCCTGTTGGTACCTGGCGGCCCACCCAGAGCAGGAGAGTGAGAGGGGCGTTCACCAAATAGAGTCCCTCTGATTCAAGACTGGCAGAGCAGCAGCGTATCGCCTCTTCTAGCTTTGGAGGGTCTGAGCTGTCCACTGTCAGTGGCTGTAAATAATGAGACAAAATCTTCACAATTTGAAACACAGTCCTTCTTATATAAAGGCTTCACATTCTACAGCCAAGTAACATGTTTTTGTCATGCTTGGAAGCCATGCTGGTATATTTGCAAACAGTAATTGATCATGATGAGTCCATATTATTTATGTTACGTCAGGTATGGTGAATGGCAATTGCAGCCCAAGACAATAGCTCGTTCAAGATTATATTCACTAAAAGACTTAGATTAACTAACATTAATCAATAGACAAAAAATTGTTCTTGCCCCCATTTGGGAGCATGACATTACCACATCTGAAAACTGACCAGACGCAGGAGCTGAGGGTAGAAGTGGATGGCAGTGCTGGTGGGGTCCATGTTGAGGACCTGACATCTCTGCTGGAGTCTTTGGGGCACAGAGCTCCGGAGGCCGGGCAGCAGCACTTCGCTCTTCCTCAGACTGTTGATGTAGACGGGTAAGGCCCGCAGGTACTGAGGGAGCACCAACTGTACACAGCAAGCAGGTAGGCAAGTGTTGTTACTCTGCCACATCAGGAAGATAATTTGGTACTACTAGGGCTGGGTGATATGTCCAGAAAATTACAAAGATATTTTTTTCTTGAATTGATCAGTGTTGTTAGCTTCTGCAGAGATATTTAGTCCATTACAAGCAGCTAACATACATGAAACTTCACACAGACAGTTGCTCCCTCTTTTCTGTATCACTCGAGGAAAAACTAAAACTAAACACAACACTTACAGTCAGGAATGAAAAAGCTACTTGGATGAGAGGCAAAAGTATTTACTAAAAAAATTTAACCTTCTTTTGCTAGTATACATTTTTAAAATCATGTAAGATGTAATGTAATGTGTAATATGAAATTTAATATATTCCTCCAAGAGAGCATATCATGAGACAGCGCTGAAAGTTAGACAAGGTAAGGCCAGCATAAATAACATAAAAACTATTGGTGTTGCACAGTAAAATAGTATATGGACTACATAAACATGAATATACATATAATGATTCATTTGGCATATTGTAAACCACATATTGTTTACCTGTCCAGCTGAAACTGAGGCAGAACAGCAGTGTTTTCTGTAACACGCCAAAGCCTCAGTGATTTGTGTCTGCAGTTCCTCCCTCAGCTCCTGCAGGGGGCGCTCCAGCACTGCACAATACACTGCAAGAACATGTCAATGCAAATTATCTAATCCATGTAGTACTTCTAAGACTCAGAATACTACTATTGTCTAAAGAGCCTACTTTTCTTGCTGTAGAAAGTTAACAGGGTTTGGGCCTGGTAATGCCTAAAAGCATCCTGTAGGTGGCGTGAGCATTTTAGTACGACTGTATGAACCCTGGTTCTCCTCTCTCCGGTTGATGTGCTGTAAGACAGACCGGTCTGGAGAGCAGAAAGAGTCACAGAATTAAACAATATGCCTTCAAATATTACAAAATGTTACATCTTGGAAAATAACTTACTTGTATGACTACTCCTTTTTTTTCATCCAAGTTTCTGATATGTTCCAGTTCCAAAGCTAACGTCGTCCTCCAATCAACAGCCGCCATGGGAACAGATGAGGGGTTAGGACCGGGCAGGAAGAGGCCATAACAGCCCAAAACACGCATATCTGCAAAAATGAATAAAAACAAGCATTTATCTCACATCTAACAATGTATGAAATTATTATTAACTCTTTAACTACAGACACTGTTAGAACCAAATCATTGTAACTGCTAAACCTGCTGATGACGCACTTGAATTGTAATAGTTTGTAGTTTCATGTATAATAAAGCATAATTTAACTGTCATCATGGCTTTTGAAATCACATTTTTTATTAGGCTCAAGTGCCAGAGGCTGGCGAAGGCCCTATTGGTATCGCAAAGCAATGCTTGGGAAGTGAAATGGCGCAACGTGACTCGCCCGTATTGACCAGGGACCCTTGCCATGATGTAGCAATTCCCTAGAGCTTTCCAAAAATGTATAGTTTGTTGGTCAAAAAGCAGAACATTGTTCTTGCATCAGAATCTTATTAGGCCTGAGCCCCGACAGGGCGTAGGGCCTATTGCATTTGTGACGACGAGCACATGGGCAACAATGAGAGCAGGGGTGAATGCACGAGGACGTCGTGCAGCTTCGTCCTTGGAAAATAATTATAATTGATACATGCATTAAAATACTATCATGAAAGTTATGTTATGTGAACAATGTTAACCCACAGACGTTGCCTGTAAGTGCATCTCTAACAAGACTAAATTTTGCAATTTTCTGAACTACATTATAATGTCACCAAAATATATCTGAAGTTGTGTTTTGTTTCATTCACACATGTTTAACACACAAACCCTGCATATTTAGGCTGAGTTTTTCTCTCAAAAAGAAAACACTCTGTTCCACCTTCAGATGTCATATACAGGAAGTGATTCACTGTGTTTTGACACCTTCAGGAGAATCGTTCGAATAATTTCAGCCCAGCGATTTCTAATTTCTGCTGAACAACAGGTAAAAGGTTGCAGTTAACCTGAAAACTACTGTGTCATGACATCACAAGGTGGAACAGAGCATTTGAAGCTTTGGAGATGTAGACAGACTAATAACAAAGGATTACTCAAACACGTGTGAATGAAACAAAACACAACTCATTATAGTGACATTATAATGTAGTTCAGAAAATTGCGTAGCTTAGGCTTGTTAAAGATGAGGTAATTATAACAGGGCTTAAAGCTCACAAGAGTCAGTCTTGTACAATATAGGACCTTTAAATGTTAGAATGTGCTTACCTTTAGAAACACAAATTTTAAGCTCAGCCCGGAAGCCTGTGTCCATCATAGCAAAAGTTCTCTTCAAATCAGCAGAAAAACGCTCTTTGTCCATTTCACCCTGAAAATAAGGAAGGTAGAAAAAAACGCAACTTAGCAAAAAGCAGTAACAGAACATTGTACATTTGAATGTTGTTATTCAGATAAAAAAATGCATGTAAAAAATAATAAATAAACACTTGATTTATTATAAAGATATATGCCATACACACATAGAAACATTTTATTATTATTATGAGTTGCTTTATAAATTATTATGTGTGATTAATGTAATCTCCAGAGTCAGAGGTGTTAATCAAATAATTTTAATGTGATGTAATAGTTGTCAGAGTACATATGTTTTACCTGAAGGTGGTTGTAGGTGTTCAGAGCTCCTCCTGTTAAATAAGGAATGTGTCCCGGCCAAGCCCCGCCCACCAGCTCTTGTGACAGGTGAAACAAGTGAACGCTACAGCCCTGACGGACACAGTCTCTGACCAATGACACGGCTCCTTCTGATGGCTGGAAGATGGACTATGAAAAAGCAGTACAAAAATACATGTCATTAAAGCCATTACTAAGAATAATTGTAGTAACTGTTCATAGTACCGTAGTTGCACCTCATTTTATTAATGCAAAATATTAGTGTTCACCTTTGGTTTACTGGAGCCAAAGAACCCTGAAGATGTCTGCGTAGTTCCCATCTCGATTAAAGGGGCGGCATGGAAGACCAACAACTTTCCAGGACAATTTAAAGCCTAAAAGGGCACATATGTTTATAATTAAGCAACAAAAAATGATGGTCAATTCACATATACACAAAAATTTAGATAGAGACCTGGAATATGGCTAATGCTGCTTTGACTGGCAGCTCTATAGGAACTCCACTGGAATCAGTTTGTTCTGGGCTGAACTGAGGAATAAGTTGCAAAACACTGAAAAGTAAAAACCCAAAACACAATTAAATTTGTCCTTTTACAGGAATAGCACGATCAGAAATGTATGTTCTTTTAAAGACACAAAAATTTTACATTTTAAAAAGGGATCCAATTAGAGATGTCAAAATGATGTTGTTAATCGAGCATTGTGTTTATTCAGGTCACAATGTAATCGCAAGAACTAAAAACAATAATCATAAAAACGTAAGCATTTTCTATTCACCCCAAAAAGTTCAACAAAATGCAATATGCTTTTATTATCTATTATTTATACCATATTTACTTAACTTCATCATGTAGATCACAAACTAGAGCAATGGCAATGTATTATAAAATGGGAACACAAGGAATTTTGGTGTGCGACGCTCAAAATGATCTTAATACTAAAATTTGATATTGTGACATGACATCACTAGATCCAACATATGGTTAATATGCAGTGTAGTTCAGTTCAGTTCATTTATTAGAGCAAAATGAATTTATGATATCAACATGAAATTACTACTGAACATACTGTGCTGCATTACAATTATGCTCAAAAAGAAGCAGGAAGAAGTGTAACCTTATAATGTGTAATTACCTGTTAACACTGTGCACACAGTCTTTTAGAGGAACCAAGAGCCCGCTGGATATGGGCAGTTGAAGTTCATCAGTCTCAGTGATCACGAGCATGTGTGGGCGGGACAGGGCGGGGCTCAGGTCGTACAGGTGAACTCTGCTGTCATACGTCATCAAACCCACACGGACATCTGACAAAGAGTCTTCATCCTCTCTGAAAGCAAAACAGTGAACAAACTAATAGTGATTTCTTTGTCAAGTCTTTGGGATCAGCATAGTAATATTTCCTAGTTCTTAAAATGATTACTGTTTAGTGGGAAAGTACTCGTGGTAGACATTAATAATAATTTTACATAAATCAAATCTAGTCTAAACTATGCACTTAAATTGAAAGAGTCGTTCCAAAGACTAGCTCCTTTTTTAAACAACCTGCCAACCTTGATTGTTAAGAATTTACTCTTTGAAATAAAGTGTAAACTAAATCCTTTTACTACATATTTGCCAGATACAAAGCTTTCATTCATGTTGTCTCCTTCAGTGTTTAGTGTTTGTTCAGTCTACAAAAATGTAAGTAATAAAAATAAAACTTTCAGCTCTTTTTATAAATGAGATTTAAATTTGAACCACTTGTGATCAAGAGCCGTGATACACTAACAAGTACACTAAGGTCATATTTTACTATCTCTGGGTGAAAAAATGAAACAGTTTGATATAAATATATTACCCATTCAGGGAAGCAAGCAGAGTGCGTATTTGATGTGTTATGAACTCTAAATGACCTCCTCTCAGAGCTTGAACAGACACGTCTATGGCCAGCAACAGTACTGCAGATTCACCCTAAGAAGAAGAAATAAAAATAGATAAGAAATACTGAATTTAGTATTCAATAAAATTACACAAATGAAAATCACCCTGCACCCTTATGCATAAACTAACCTTTTGAGAGTGGATGACCTCATATGACCCCATACTAAGTTCAGGTCTTTTCTTCTTATCCACTCTAACACCTTCAACTCCTTTGGTTGGCTGGTAAAACTGCCACGGTACTATAACATAAGATAGATAAGTATATATTCAATACGTCATTATCATCATCTTTATTCCGGACTCATGGTACATTTTTAAAACAGACAAGGACAATGACAAAACAACAAACATTTATGTTTTTAAAAGACAACCATACCAGTGTCTCCACATATTGGACTGATATCTTATTGCACCAAATTATATTTGTGAGATTATTATTTCATTTTCTGATTTGTTAATCCTGCAAATAAAACTGTACATTAAAATTCTTAGTGCAGCTTGCAAAGTGCAGTAACAAACATCTCTGTTGCACTCATCCATTGTGGCCTCCTCAAAAGCACCACAAAGCATCATTGTAGGCCAACTGCAGTCTTTGCAAACTGGCTTTTTTGTAATTGATCCACAGGTGGCTGTATACAATAGTGTACAATGACTTAAATATCAACTTTAAGTAATTTGTACAAGAACTAAACTTACGCATAAGAGCATTTGCCTGATCATAGAGCGTCCTACACTGTCTATATACAGAAGATCAAAATAGTAGTTTTGACAATTCACTAAATTAGAATATTAGTATTTTGTCTAAAAAAGAAAACTGCAATACAGATGCAAGTGGAGTCTTACAAACAATAGTATAAGTTGATCTATTGTTATTTGTGTTTCATTGTACAGTTCACCTTTTATGTGATACTTGAGCCTCAACTAGGACATTTACAGCCGTATTATTCTAATTATCATAATTATTGCCCACCCCGAAAAGAAAAGATTTTACCTTCACTGAGCTTTCCACAGAATGGGCAGGAGTACCTCTGCCCACAGTCCTGCCAGCCCATAGCAGGACACATAAAGGCACCACAAGAACCACAACCTGCAATACATTCGGACTCTGTGCAGTCTGGCAGGGAATTCTGGAGGAAAAAAAAATACAGTTTTGTTTATCTATTCAAACAATTTTTTTAGGTCTGCAGGGTTTGGGGGAAAATGTGCAATTCTGAGTATGTATTGCTATTAGATTAGACTGAAACATGAATTAATAAACTAATGCAAGAATCTTTTTTTTTTTTTTCAGTTTGATGATGATGTATCGTGCAGCCCAGTTCTGATTGACATATTCGATCATTAAATTTGGTTAATAAATATAGAAAAAATACCATACCTGTCCAAAGTTGACTCCGGCCAGAGGGGAGATGAGAGCTCCCAGCGGTAAATGACTGAGCTGAGTGGTCTGAGCATCACAGGGAAAGCAGTACGTAGAAGCTCGGATGGCAAACGGACTTGCACTGCCTGAATTTCAAAGATACAATATAGACAAAGTGTTTACATCCTGAAAGTATGTGATTGCATTGAGTAGAGTGTAACAAAAAGAGGTACAGGAGTATGTGAGCATGTAGTAGAAGATACTGGGAATAATTTCAGATTTTCAGGTTTTCCTCTATAGTTAAAGGTCCTATATTACACAAAATTTATTACCCTTGTGAACTTTCATCCATGTTAGAATGTTGTTAACTAATAAAAAACATATATAGAGTTGTATTTTGTTCCATTCACACATAACTGAGTAATCCTGCATTATTAGTCAGATCAACATGCTCAGTTCCACCATGTGATGTTATGAAGAGGTAGTTTACAGCTTCATGAGTAAGCTTTACCCTTTGTTGAGTTCCAGATCTGAAATAATCCAAATTGTATTGTGATTGCATGGGGTTTAAAGATACAGTGGAGCCCTTCTTGTATTACTTTATGACATCACAAGGTGGAACATGGCGTTTTCTGTTCCCGTTCTCTCGGAACAGAAACAGAATATATCCAGTATCCTGGATTTGTGTGTTAAAAATGTTGTGAGTGAAAGAAAACACAAAACAACAGGATAACATAGATCATAAATAATGTATTATAGGCCCTTCAGTTGTATGATTTTAGGTATCTTTTGGTAGGATAATTATTAAAAGAAGAACGTATAAAGATGCATTTTATTTATCACAGACAGGGATACTGAATAAAAAGGTGACAATTATGAGATATAGTTGCAGATTGGTGTTACCTTTGTCCTCTATAGTACAGGACGTAGTGGGTAAAGGAGGAAGACGAGAAGGAGGCTCAGAGACATAGACTTTCCCCTCCCATTGGGCCTGATCCTCTGCCATTACTTTTACCTGGGTCAGAGATACACTTTAATCAATTTTATATAAAGAATAGTTCTATACAATAATCGATATCTAGATACTAAGAAATATTAGTTTTGAAAATAGCTACTGATCCATATATAAAGCAGCTGAAGAACACATCTTAAAATTAAAGCCACTGCTATTATATTGTGTTGAAAATCAGTCTATTCACTAAAACAATATTATTTTTATCATTGTGGCGTCAACATCAATACAAAGATTCAGCTTTTTTTTAGTATCAAAATAGAGTTGCTTTTTTTGACTAATCTGTATGCAAAATAAAGATAATAGGCACAATATTAACTTCAGAAAAGAATAAAAAGCTAAAGAGTTAATTGGCAAAATGTTGTACATGTTGTAACTAAACAAAGAGAAATAGCTCCAACAGACAGAAAGAAACAAAAGCAACAATATTAATACTTACAGCACTGGGAAGAGACTCAGGGTCGAGCCCATAGCGCGACTCAGAGCTTGGAGACAGCCCAACTGCTTCAGGAACAAAGTGCTTTACAGTTCCTATAGGGGGAGAGCAAATATATAATTATCTGCCAGCCTTATTATTATTATTTTTCTTCTTTTAACAAAACTAAAATAAATGACAAACTCACCTGGAGTTGTAGTTGTCCACTGAGGCTGCTGTTGAATTGGTGATGTTGGCGATGAATAATTTTGGATAAACCCAGCAGAGTCCACACCTACAGGCTGAAAAGGACTGTAGAGCTGATTTTGATTTGTATTGTCGTCATATGTGTAATGATTATGGGAAGAATTATTCTGAAGGGGAGACTGGGGTCCATTCAGTAACCTCTGATCTGAGATATGTTGCTGAACAGGAGCACATATTGATTGATGGTTAATTTGAGAGGGGTGGGGAGGTGGGGGTTGCAGCTGCAGAGACCCATTGGAGATAAGAGGAAGTGAAGAAGGTGGTTTTGCAGGATAGACTGAAGAATCGTAGCAAGTACCAGACCAGTTTGTGTTTTTTAACTGTGAGTGGTTAAAGGATGACTCTGGGTGATGGGGGGAGGTCAGGGTGAGATGCTGAAAAGTAGAAATTGGGTTGTGATGGTGCTGAAAAGGGGAAATTGGGGACCAGCTGTTTTGTCCCGCCCACTGCTGAGGGGAAGCCGCGCTCTGATTGGCTGAAGACTCCATCCTTCACCACCACCATCCCTGTCTTTCCTAGGAAATATACAACAAATAGAACATAAAAAAATTGATACATGTAGATGAAATGCAAACTAGAGCTACTAAAATTAACTCTTTAATACACGTGCACAGGATGAAGTCAAAGATTGGTGCACAGAAAGTAGCCTGCGAAATGCTAACACTGCAAAAAACGTGCCACAAGCATTGCTTTAAATTAATAGGTGCTGCTTAACTTTATATTATTTCATTCACGAGCGATAATTAAGATAGGTCTTAAATTATCATCATATTTCTAGCAGTAGTATTACAATGAACGCAGCATAACCTACCTTGGTTTAGCGGAAACGATGGTTGGCTTCACGGCATGCACAGGACTCGATCGATTTACTGCGCTGTGTCTTTACATTTCCAATATTATAGTTTATTTGCTTAAGTTAATTGACCATAACCCACATTTGCTATAACAATTATCTTGACCGCAAAGAGGAAACGGTGCCTGATTCCGCATCTTCAGTTTTGCATCAAGGCAAAGACATTTACTTAATCACTTCCGTCTTTCCTTTCAAAATAAAAGCGTGAACGTTAAAGGCGACATATTATGTAAAATTAACTTTAGCGAGTTTTTAATCGTGGTGTTCCCTCAACATTGATTTACCCAAAGTTGTATTTTGATTAACTGATTCATGCATGTTTGAGTAATCCTGCATTGTCTTGCATTTGAGAGTTCAGAAAGTTTGTTTTCACCTATCCCCTATCTCCACCCACAGCTTTTACTACTTTACTTTAAATTATTCTAAAAACACAGACTCTAAGACATAGATGTAAAAACGTGAATAAAATGGCACTATGACTATACAAAGATCGGGGCTATCGGTCCAGCATTATTGACCAGGAACTCAATGCTCCTGGTTTAATTTTTAGGTCATATTTGACCAATATTATAGTTAACAGTGAATAAACAGTGAAGTGGTTTTCTGCATGTTATAGTTTCATACTAAAAAGTATATACTAGGGGTGTGCAAAAATATCAAAATATCAATATATCGTATCATTTAATGTGCTGATACAGTGTGGATATCATGGCCTGCTGTATTGATATATCGCCAAGAGTAGTTTTTGGTATATTTTACTAAACTATTGTTTGTTGTTACAGTGCTACAGTTTTGTTGCTTGTTTAGAGAAAAGAAAGTCTTTTATGCAACACATTGACATATTCACTGTTTTGAGGAGTAAAATGGGTGTGTTTCTTATAAACTTTAAGACTTTCAGTATCACAGCCATGATTTAGCCTTTGTTTTTTTATTAAACCATATCCAATCTATATAAATATATCAAATCTAATTGAAAGCTCACTATATCGAGATCGCGGCCTGTGTATCGAGGTATGTATCCTATCAGCAACTTTAATAACATCTCCTCTTTTTTCCCAAATATCTAGAATGTATATTTTAGTTGTTATGTTAAGTAAACCCATCAAAGTAGAATAAATTGAAGTCCAGAATAAAAAACACAAAGGTTTATCGCTTCATCACACGTTGCAAATATTTTTACATAAGGCTGGTTAATAAAACATAAATAAGATTATAACATTTTGGCTACTAAAAACAGCTGCTCTTTTATAATGAGCAGTAAAAATACTTAAATAGGGTGGTGACAAACCTCCAGATCTACAGATTCTGGCTACTACATGTTCAAAGTTGGTAATAACCGCTTGTATCCTGGGTGGGCCAGTTGGTTGGTGGCAGGTTTTTCAAAGCGCTCCTGCTCTCCTCTCTCTTCAGTGCTGTGATCCTGTTTCTCACATAGTCCTTAACACCCTTCCAGGAACGTGCCCTCAGAGCCTCGGGTTCAGCGTCGAGACACTGGAGGCAGTCCATTTTCTGAGGGATTTTATGTCCGTGAATGAAGCGCATCATGTGCCTCTCTACAGCCCGCACCTCCGCCTCATCCCACTTCTGTTTGTTCTTCTGAGACGCTGTGAGCATGAAAGCAGAAAAGAGCAAATTTGCAGACTGTGAGGATTAAAGGATCCATATTATGCTATTTTCTGATCGATGTTATAATAATGTTTCCTCATCATAACATACCTGGAGTTGTGTTTTGTTTCATCCACATATGTTTAACACACAAACCCTGCATATTTACTGTAGGATAAGTTCTTCTCTCAAACAGAAAACACTCTGTTCCTCGTTGTGGTGTCATGTGGTAATACTGGAAGTGCTCCAGTTCGTTTTTAAACTCCACAAACCTTCACTAGAATAATTTTGATAATTTTAGCCCTGGAATTGCTCATCTCTACCCAACAAAAGCTAAAAGGAAATCATACACAATTCCAGGCATGTTTTTGATGAGGTAACAACATTAGACCATGGCCCAAAGCTCACACGAGTGAATACAGTGTAATAGAGGACCTTTAAAAGTGAGATATAATAATACCGTATATTGAAATTAAAATGGTAGACAATACAGCTGAACAATACTGGGGAAATATCTAATTGTGAAAAGCATTTCAATTGCAATTTGTTTTGATATGTATATTTTAATAATAGGATTCTGTTCAACGTTCACATTTTAAATATGTCCAAGAGAATTGACAAAAATCTTAACATTGTCCCACCAAACTGAGCAGAAAAAACTACTTATGTGTGATGTCCTCTTCTAGATTATTGTTGTTCCTGCAATTATTAATATCCCCAACATTTTTTAAACTGTCAACAATTGAAATAATTATTGTAATATTATCATTGATTGCAATTATTTTGGCCATTGAAGATACATTTGTCAACAGGATAGTAGTGGATGTTTTGTTACCTCTCTGTGGTTTGTCTGTGGCGACGCGCTTTGGTACAGGGCCCTGGATTGGTGCCTGTGCGTGTTGGCTCTGGTCAGGATAATAAGGAGCTGGTCTGTTGTAGTTACAGGAGAATTGATTTTGTCCCCACTGTGCAGATGTTTGGGTCCCTATATCTTCAAATGTCCCTATGATAAAGACAAAGAACTGCTTAACTGTCCAAAAATGTGGCACTGGCCATTACAGATATACTCACCTGGTTGTTCAAGGACATCTGTCCTGGCTGTCTGTAAAACTTGATAGTTTGGTCCTAGAATCTGGTTGGCCTCATTTTCATCGAGGTTTAACATCTGCAGCATGGCTGAAAAATGCGTCCGGATTTTGGCTGTAGTGAGAGTTTTGGGAGACTTGGCTCCACAGTCTCTGACGTAGTTCTGTAGGATGGTGGAGCCGCTGTAGGACGTCAGAGCGGTGGGTCTGGCAAACAGGAAGGGGTTCTCTGCAGGGACCCCACATGCCTCACGGTTCTTCACCAGAAGCTCCAAGCCAAAGACAAAGGACTGCTTCAGCAACACAGGAACTATCCGGCCACAGGTCCCTCGGATTTCAATCCGAGTGAAGAACCGGCACATGGTCCTCTCCAGGTCTGACAGGGAAACTCCGGAGTAGTTATAAGAGTCATACATTTTCCGGGACAGGAAGTCTTCAAGTCTTAAGCCTGACACTTCTGCAGGCTTCCTTCGGTTGAATAGTATGATGCGGGCGAGTATCACCTTGGCCAGAGCAGCATATGTTTCTGCAGAGACGTGCTCCCTGAACTTGTTTTCAGACACAGTGTGGGTGTTGGCCACGTAAGAGTTCAGGCGTTTGACATCTTGGATCGAAGGCACACTCTTCTCCTTCACACGTTTCGTCTCTCTCAGAGTGGTGAGCGCACTCGCAGATACAAGCTTATTCCATTTAGTCTTGTACACTTCAAGGAAGCTTTGAGCGGACTTGGCTCTGCTTTCATCTCCACTTTCAATAGCATTATTCTCAACAATGCTGCAGAGCTTTTGAAGCTGGTATCCCAGTTTAATAGCAAGAGAGGGGCTGGTGTATGAGTTAGTCTTTGAATTGAACCCTGCTACAATGTTGACGGCAGAGACGACATGTTTGAAGTTAGCGGGCTCAAAGAAATCCTCCATCTCTTTCAGAGGCGTCCTCTTTTGAGCTTCTAGCACCAGACGAGCGATCTGTCGAAGGTTTTGTCTGATATTCTCGTGTCGATTGGGATCAGCTCCTTGCTGTTTAAACATGCCCTCTCCAAACTGCAGAATCACCTTATGATTTAGAATGGCTTGTGTGACCGGGTCATTTATCATTGGAGACAGAAGTCCTTTAAAACCTTCACTGATGTCTGGCCCCAGTGTTTCAAGCACACATCTAAATGCCAGACGCTTCTTTCCTATTTTAGGTTCATCTTTGCTTTTACTTTTCTCTGGACATTTCTTCATGTGTCTGAACAACCCTTTGCTGATGTACAGTCCCTGACAATACAGACAGTGGACAAACTCATAATCTTGGACAGGCGTTCTTGGTCTTTTCACAGCTGCCAGGAACCCCTTCCCCGTTTTGAGCACATCCTTGTTGTGAGCGAAATTACCTTTATTTTTCAGTCTATTCCAAATGTTTAGTCTCTCTTTGGAATGTTTGGGATGTTGTAATGCACTGGCAACCTCCTCCTGGTGACTGTGGACCATTTCAAGATGTCGAGATAGTTTACTGAAGGGTTTGGAGCAGAACAAGCAGTAATTCTTCTTGTCATATACTCGCTTGCCTTTCTTGCTCACACATTGTAAAACCAAAATGGACGACTTGGGTGTGTACCTTTTCTTCAGAGTTCTTTTGCGCTTGTCTTTGGCCGCTGGGTGAGCCTTTGACTTTGCTTTAAGTCGAGTGTTACATGTGGATTTCTTTTGAGGGGTTTCATCTGAGGAGCTGTCCACTGAGTCAGAAATTTCTTCATTACTAACAGGTAAGAACTCAGGACTGTCGTCATCCTCCGAAGGAACATCTGCACTCTGTAGAAAATAATAAATATATGAAAATAATGTTTAAATATATTGATCCAGTACCAGTATTGAATATCAAAAAAATTAGCTGGATCGAATATTGACTTTCAAATATTGGTTCAGTTGTTGGGCATATACATTAGTGCTATAAGACTGGTCCTATTTGATCCAGAACATTTATTTATACAAAGCTGTAGACTAATTGCTTGAGGGATAAAGAAGCCTCAGTTTTTCTTAATTAAGAAGTACAGTTACTTACTAACATGAGTACAAATTGCAGCTACTCCTCCAACCTCTGTGCAAAAATTTCAACAGTGTACTAACCTCTGAAAAGTCACTCGACTCATCAGGATATTCTAGAGGTGCGCTATCATTTGCAACAGGAGTCTAAAATAAAAAATGAAATAAAAAAAAAAAGATTATTGAATTAAAGTTGCAGAATAAATACTGGATGGAACTATACTCTTACCAGGTCAGCAGCAAGTGATACCTCTTCACTCCCAGTGTCCTCTGAAGGCATTGTTTTTAGCTTTATAAAAAAGAAATAAATTCAATATATTAGACATTTAATAAGACAAATTATGGAAAAATCATCACTGTTATAATAAAACACTTACAAGTGCATCCAAATCTGACAGTTTTTAAGAAGTTCCTGCCGCTGCTGCATAAGTGCACTGCGTGACTCAGTATTGGCCTGTAAGGTTAAATATGTTATAAGTTTGACAAATATCTGGCTATTGAGTAAATAAAAACTCCATCCCATTCCTACGTAAAAGGCACATATTGTGCTATTTTCTGATCTGATGATGTTATGTTTCCTCATCACAAACATACCTGGAGTTGTGTTTTGTTTCATTCACACATGTTTAACACACAAACTCTGCATATCGGGCTTCTACCTTGTAATGTCATGTGGTAACACGGGAAGTTTTTGATGAGGTAACAAGATTATACCATGACTTAAAGATCACAAGAGTCAATTTTGTATAACATAGAACCTTTAAATAAATACATTGTGAATTCATTTACCAGAGGTGCTGAGCTTTGCTCCGTTGGGGCATTTGAAGGTTTCTTCTTACTACCTGATAAAGAAAATAAAAGATGGTTATAAACTTTAGCTCTAAACTTTATCACATAAAAGGGATATCACAAAGATAATTCACTGGCCATGAGTAAACAACTGAAATGCTTAGTTCACCGTCATTCCTCTAATATGAATGTAAAAGTTAATATGACACAAACAGCTACAAGAAAAGGCATTTTTAGTTTTCATTTCTATGTAATAGATCTTGATGTGACATTATTTTTGCTTCTATAAATCTCACTGAACCTCAATAATCAATTAATACATTATAATATAAGCAATTACATGCTAAATACGTACAGGTTTGTTTACAATTTGTAGATTAGATTTAACTTTATTGTCATTACACTTTACATTAGTATATTTAAATAGATGTGCAACATAATAGAAGCTTTATTATCCGCTGAGAGAAATTTGTCACATTTGCCACACAACATTGAGGACATCATCATTATTCATCATCATTATCATTCAATAACATAAAAAAATCTATTAAAAAAAGGGAATTGAGACAAAAAATAAACTAAAATACAATGAAACAACAATGAAGCAAACACTACAAAAACACAACACAGAAATATAAACTATGAAATAGAATGATACCAAGGAACAGCTTACCCTTGCGGTTTTGCCTCCACTGAGAGATCATCTGGGTGGGAACGGCCGGGATGTTCACTTGTCCACTGACAGGAGCAGGGTCTACCTCTGTCGATTTGCTCCTGACAGCCTGGTTTGATCGTTGTGAGCATGAGGGCAGACTCACAGGTAGGTCCTGGGGTGCACTGGGTAAAGGTTGATTTGATATCAAAGGCTGGAATGAGGCCAGATGTTGTGTTGTTTGGTAAAGAGAAGGCCGTGTCGTATTTTTGCCATGATTAGTAGGTGGCATTAAAGGCGTCTGACTAAGCTGAGCGAAGGAAAGAACATTGGAAATACTGGGAGAGGTTGGAGCATTTGCAAAAAGAGAGGCTGATGTCGGGGTACTGCACATTTGTGATGTTTTGAAACGAGAATTAGACTGAGCATTGACTCTACAAGGTAAGTTGTTGAGGCAGTTTAGACCAGATGTCTGTATTTGGTCGTAGATGGGTCTTGAGTCTGGAGAGGAGCCCAGGCCAAGCTGTTGAGAAGTAGGCAGAGGAATCAGAGGGGCTCCTTGAGAAGGGTCTCCGGGCCAGCTAACCGACCCCGTCCACACTGGACAGGGCATATGGTTCTTATTGCCAGATGGGTCATCCATCCTCCTCCTCCTCCTTTACCATCAGATCTCTGAAAAAATATATATAATTAGCCCAGAAATAAAAAGATGAGACAGTACATAGAATCAAATTTACAATATGAGTTTGAAAATGACTATGGTTACAGGAATTAATTAGAATAATCCAATTATGACTAGTCGACTTGTTGACAATTAAAATAATTGTATTTGTATTATAATCGTCTGTTAACAATTTTCCAGGCTATAGGGACTATAAAGACTACAAGCCAAAAGACCTTAAAACTAAGACAGCAGTAGTACTAACTCAAAATACAAATGAGTAAACAATTTTTGATTCTCAAAATTAATCCCATTCCAGCCTTCAATTAGCAAATTTCAACCTTTATTTCGTAAAAATCTTTTTTCTAAATCGCAGTGTCTTATGGATGAAATAATTGTTTGACTAGTCGACTAATCAAGACAATTAGCACTGACTAATCGACTACAAAAAAAAAGTAAATTGCTGCCCTAATAATTGCCCTAATAATCAAAAATACGCGGAGATTGCATTTGTTTATAGATCCTTTTATTAGTAGCTATTCCTGCAAAATCAAAATAGTATAAATCAAGGCCTATGCATTTTCACCGCATTTCTGCAAACATTATAGGCTAAAAACAGCTGTTGTATCTTGCGTATTATACAAACCGACAAGCAATAAAAATATATAGGTCATTAGATAATTTATCCTTTCAAAAAAATAAACATACCTGTGAAAATTGTGGTAAATCCGTTATGTTTTTGTTTAGAGTTTGTGATGCTCCCATGGACGAAAGAGGCAAGAACCAAGATGGCGGCTCCGTCTCTGCGTTGATTACTGCCCTCTGCTGGTGAGGGGTGAGAGCTTGTTGGTAAGGCACAAACTACACAAACTTCACAAAAATAAATATGTTATCTCCCATCTATGCAATTCAAAATTATTGTTAGGGACCTGCCCTACTTACAGGTAATGTACAGGCATTTTATAAAGTTGTGTCCCCTGATTTTAACCTAAATCCTACAATAAAATTTGATGGGATGGTTACCAAAAAAAAAAAAGGAAAAATCTTTTTATAAAATTAGGCTCTCCTACAAGGGTGACCAGATGTCCCAGGACAGACCCAGTTTTGAGCCCCGTGTCCCCTGTCCCATCAGATTTATTCAAAACCAGTGATTTGTTCCAGTTTTATACAAGAAATGTCCCAGGTGTCCCTATTTTTGACCAATTTTGTCTAAACCAAGTCTAAATCAGGACTGTCACAATTTTTGACTAATCTGATCCCTGCCAACAGTAAAGAGGAGCATAAATTGTCATTTGTTCAGCCAAAATTCAGAAAACTGTGTTTGCAAATGACCACAAAGTAAAAAAATAAATAAAAATGCAGCAACAGAATTCCCTCAAAATTATAACTAACAATAGCGTACACAATATTACACACTCTTTTCACAATTTTCACAATTTTCATCCAAACCCTGGCGTGAACCAGTTTAGAATCTGGTCACCCTAACTCATACAACTGTACAAAATACATCCATTTGTATATAAGAAGTTTCAGAAGTAAAGATGTACAAAAAAAATTTAGGTTATGGAAGATAAATTGTTCCATCCGATTCTGAATTATAAATGCCTTTAAATTTATTTCCACTGTATAGTTTTCAATGTGTTAAAAAATCAAAATCAAGTTAATATTTTTCCACTGTTATAGTTTAACAAAGTCATAGCATATAGTAAATGTTGTTTTGATAAGAAAACCTCTGGATGAACAATATGTTGCCTCCAAAGGATTTATCATACGTAGGCTTACTCTATAAACAGGAAAAATTACATTAACTCAAATCAAACCAACTACTCAAATGCTACTAGAATAAAAGTTTGCCAAGTTGTGTTTTACTTGTATTTTAATAAAGCTGGTACAGTGCTCCCAAATTTCTGCATTTTTGTTAACAGCGTATGCCCCATAATTCATATACATCGCATAACTGTATAGGTCTGTTGTTTAACTGAGATGAGGGAGCTGAATTTTCTTGTTTGTTTGTTACTTTGTTGTTTTTGACATTTCTTACAATGTTATCAACTGGGATAAATTATTTTGCTCCCTATCTGGGACTGGGACATCATACCAAAAACCACCAAATGTTGAAAAGTCCCACACAAACACTTTACACTAAACGTCACATGAGCAGACCACATACCTGAACCACAGATGTAATAAAAGTAGAAGAGACTGGCAGCTGAATGAATATTTGATTTGGTTCGTCTCTGGCCCAGAGTGTTGTAATATTGATGTGGTCCAGAGGCCAGAAGGACAAGTATGAGGAGGACCTATTATCTTCTGTGCTGAGGGTTCACTGACCACTCAATGAAGAGACAGTATCAGACTACAACTGTGGTGGAAAATAGTATGGGTGGGTATTTATCACACTCTAAAAACACAAAACTCACATCACACGGACTTGCCTCCCATATGGGAACAATATTGATTACTAGCCCAAAATGCTTTTCTGTATTAGCCTGTCTTACTGAACATGCACAGTGTAGCCTTTTCCAGTAGTCAGATACAGCATCTTCAGTCGCTGTCAAAAGTTTTTCATTAATTATACAAACTCAGATTTTTGTATGTTTACATTAGCCTACATGTCAATTCAAAGAGTCTCTTTTATTTATTGATCTTTATAATTTCTCAACTTATGTTTTTTTTAGTTTGACCAAAGACGTACCATTCACAAACACAAGATGGCAGTGTGTCCTGTGTCCCAAAGCAGACAGTATTTCATTGTTAAAGTACTAATGCATGACAATCACTTGATACTGATACTGAAAGGACTTGTTATGTAGAGTGGGGTGCATAGAAAGCTTAGGGTCATTACAAAACATAGCCCACAATCTGTAGCAGACAGAATATAACATGGCCAGTGATTCTGTATTTATGCTGCATAATATGTGGTTATAACATAACATACAGAAATAGTGACAAAAGACTAGCTATATGTTAAGAGTCTGCAGGGTGGCTGGGCACTCCCTTAGAGACAGGGTGAGGAGCTCAGTCACACAGGAGGAGCTCGGAGTAGAGCCACTGCTCCTCCACATAGAGAGTAGCCAGTTGAGGTGGCTCAGGCATCTGTTCCGGATGCCTCCTGGACGCCGGAAGGAGGCCCTGGGGAAAACCCAGGACACGCTGGAGGGACTACGTCTCTCAGCTGGCCTGGAGGAGCTAGAGGAAGTGTCCGGGATGAAGGAAGTCTGGGAGTCCCTGCTTAGACTGCTGCCCCCAACTTGGCCCCAGATAAGTGGAAGAAAATGGATGGATGTTAAGAGTCAATTAACATTTCGAAAGTTTGTATTTCCTTCAGGGAAGCTATAAACAAGGTTTCCCCAGAGACACTTAAGCACAGGTCAAAGGCAGATGGCAATAAAGTGTATCCTTTTTTTACCCTAATAAAGTGCCCACTTTCCCAAAAGGTTGTGTATATGTTTGCACAGCCACCACATCAAAACTGGGACTAAGACTAAATCTGGAAATAAACCTGGACTAGACCAGGACTACGACCAAACAAAAGCATGAAGGCATCCACTGGTTACATTGAATCTAACTAGACATTGTGTCATTATTATAGGAAAAGTGTAAAAAATCTGCCCATTCTTTTATTTTCTATTGTTGCATTGAGCAGAACATTTATTTTTTGGAGGGTTTTATTGTTAATGTTTCAAACCATGTTGAAAGCAACACAAAAACTTCGAATTTTGATGAAACTGTACAGAATTTTGGAGTAAAAATGTTTTATCTCATCCAAGGTTTTGTCAATTCTAAAACAGACAAAAAAAAAGAAAAACATCAATTATGAAACAAATAATTACATAACATTATGCTTGTTGAAGTGACAAATTAAATATGTCTGAAGTCCTTCCTGTTCCACTCAGATGCAATGACCTTTGACCTTGTGTATATAACATGTCGTTGTCAATTAGTGTTTTATGACAATCTCTCAAACCTTGACCTATGACCCTGAAAAAACACTTCCTATCTGGTAACACGCTTGAGTGAAGGCACATGCAGCTGTGGGCCGCCTCCCAATTCTGTTCACTTGTCTCCTCGACTCCTTGACTCCTCAGCTGTCAAATCTACTGAGAGGAGAAAACCAATTGGAAACATCTTACCTAAGGGGTTTATTTAACTGAGGAGTCAAGCTGATAAAGATGGTCTAAATATTGTCTGAATACTGTCTAAGAAAATAAATAAGGTTGTTTTAAAGTTAGCAGAATTAGAAGCATATATTTTGAAGAGTATAGGTGTTTACGCTTCAAAATATACCTTGAAAGACCTGCATTTTTTGAGATAAGTTAGGCATATTGTGGAACATTTCAGGCAAAGTAATAACTCCATAGAGACAAGGTAGCAGACCCTGAACCAGAAAGATTACACAACCAGTGTTGGGAAGTAACTGAATACATGTACTGAGAATAAATATTCAGAATTCTGAAAAATAGAGCTCATGGATCTTGAGTGCTGTGTGTGATTTGTCCTTCTTCAGTCAGTGATAGAAAAGTTTGGTATTCTGTAATACATTACATACTAAATACATTTTCCAAGTATTCTTCACATCCCTGTACAAAACGTATCTTTAACAGACATGTTTTAGCACTATAGGATCTTATTTTTATTCAAAATTTGAATAAACTGCTCTTTTTATTTGTTTTTGTCAATATTGCCCACCCTTATGAGAAGGCAAGTGAACATTAATTGGATGCAGCAGCCTTCACCTAGAAGCCGCTCACAGAATAAATCCAAAGTGTAATTTGTGGACTAGTGTGTGGACAGAGGGAGAGTACAAGGCCATGGCTAAAGTGGTTGCATCCTATTCATCATGTCAGCTCATAACCTTGTACTCATAAGGTCTCTGTCAGCTTATTTCCTCTAACTCCTATTTTTAATGACCTCACTCATTATGTCCTGTTTTATCTTCCTTCCCACTTGAGACTGAATCAGGTCTTTTAATGGCTTTTAATGTTCTGCTTAAAACAGGTTCCATGGGTGAACCATACTGTGCTCTTTTCTGATCTACGTTATAATGTAGTTTCCTCATCAAAAACATATACAGAGCTGGGTTTTGTTTTATTCCCATGTTTAACTCACAAACTCTGCATATTTAGGTTGAGTTCTTCTCTCAAACAGAAAACACTCTGTTCTAACTTGTGATGTCATGTGCTAATACAGGAAGTGACAATCCATACTGAACAAAAGGTAAACCGTATTCATTTAAAAACTACCGCTTCATGACATCACAAAGTGAAACAGAGCATTTTGAGCTTTGGATATGCGGACTGACTAATTACACAGGATTATTCAAACATGTGAATGAAACAAAACACAACTCTAGGTATGTTTTTGATGAGGCTTAAAGCTCATAAGTAAATTTCGTGGAATATGGACCTTTAATAATATAATAAATGTATTTTAATAACCCTGAAACAATGAGATAGTTTCTTTTTGATTCGGTGCTTAGATATAAAAGCAATAACTGAATCGCATTAAACAAACTTCAAAAAGTTGTGTGCATCGACTCGGTTCATGAGTGACTTTTCCTCTCAGTCCATTTAAACAGGATCTTATTGTTTTTTCCACTGTGGAATCGGAGGGAGGTTCACATTGGTGTTTCTTTGCGTGGACACGTTTTAACACAGCATGATCAGGCTTCATGTTCACTTGAGTGCACATTTGAGACATCCCAAAATCAAAACATGCAGGATATTCTGTCTCAGTCAAATGTGTTGAGTTGACAATTTTATTAGCAGGTTCTTTGGCTGCACACCCTTTTTGTGAGACGCATCACATAACCAG